TTGACCTAAATAATTTGGTTAGGTGGTGCGATGAAAACTCTATGTACCTATATTTAAATCAGTACAGATATATGTGTTTCTCCAGAAAATCTTTCCAATCCTTTGCCCAAATGATACTGACTCTATCGATTTAGGTGTCACAATGGACCGTAAGCTAGATTTTAGAAATCATATAAATGCTTGTGCATAAGGTAGAAGGCGTTTCAGCCTTCATTAAACGTTGGGCTAAGGAAATCAAGGAGGCATACATTACCAAATTACTCTTTACCTCACTTGTTAGACCCATTTTGGAATATGGCTCAGCCGTATGGAGTCCGTATTGTGCAGTGATAAATTGGAATCTGTACTAAAGCAATTCCTGTTATTCGCGTCAAGAAATTTAAACTGGAATGCGAACAAGAACCTGCCTTCTTACAAAAGTCGTTACGGCTCATTAATCTGCCTACACTCCATAGTCGTAGAAAGATGCTTGGAGTTTTTTTTAACTAAATTTATAAGAAGTGCTATTAACAGCCCTTTCCTAATTAGCGAGCTTAACTTTACCATGCCGTTAAGATCATCTAGACACTTTAGGCTCCTTTCATTGGGCTCGTGCAGAACAAACTTTGAAATGCGGGTCGCGCATTTTAGATCATTGTGTAACGATTTTAATACACATTTCCTCGACATTGATTCCTCTGACGCGCTTCCCTGCATCATAACCTACTTGCTAAGTGCTCCAAATCATTGAGTAAGTCTCTTCTCTTTTCCACATGCAATCTTATAGCAGCTGATGAACAAATCTGTAGCAGTTTAGTGTGGGAGGCAAGTGTAATCGCGACCTTCCGCGATCGGTTTCGAGTTCAGCGCAGTCCAGACTGTTACTGGTTTTCGGTCACCGGCCTGTCGGATTTTTCGATTTCCCTCAGACCCACCCCTCGGTCGGTTGGGCGGGAGGTAGGTAACGCTGGGTTCGTCGTCGAAAAAAAAAAATACTTTGGTGAACATTTTTGCGGTTGCAACAACAACAACAACAACAGCAGACTCATGTAAGCAGTGAACCGCTACAACAACAAACATAGGCTTATATAAGAGCTCCTCCGTGCGGTTCAGAGGTTCAAGAATTTACCCTCGGTAAGGCATGCCTGTCGCAAGAGGAGACTGTCACTTCCGCAACATTCCCCAAAAACTACTTTGGGGAACATTTTTGTCGTTTCAACCACAACAACAACAACAACAACAACAACAGGCACAAAAAGTACTTCAGAGAATAATTTTGCGCTTCGTCACTTCGTCCGTTTTGACAAGCATTACTTCTGCTAAACAAAATACCCTAACGTGATCTCCACATACATATGTATGTATATATTAAATTTTTATATGCAAAAATTGACATTTCGTTTAAGCGCAGTATTATTCCGCTACAGTTAAATAATGAAGCTTAAGCAAAAAAAAAATTTTGACTTTTATCGAGTATTCAGGCATAGTCAGGCTATTTAGCGGAGTTCGGAGGTGTCTTAGAAAAAAAGGTTTGATAGAAAAGCATCAAGCGCTTCAGCCGTTATAAAGCGCCAAAACCAGTTGAACCACAATTAAACATAATGTAATCCAATATTATTGTTTCTTGTTAACAATTTTGCTGAACCGCCAATAGTTTTCTTTATTTCCGTGTCACGCTAATTTTGCCCATCACTGTACGTGTGTAAATGAATATTTCATGTACATTTTCAAATGCGCCCACTCCCACCCACTCGCTAACCAATTTGCTAGTGCACTTGCTTATTGGATCTACTATTTACAATTATTTAGAAAAATATAAATTTTTTTCATATGGATGCGTTTGCATGTGTATCTAAACACTGGAGTAGTTACTACTTTACACTACTCGAATTTAGTTTTTTTTATATCTGCTACCGCCCCGCCCCGCTCGATGCACGTAGTTTTGTATAGGTGGTAAAGTATAGTTTTCGAATGTAACCGCGCCGCTACCAATCGTTGCACATAGTAACTACAAACGACCGGTGCCGCCTCACTGTAGTAATTGCTTTTGCATCGATTTTACATTTTTTGTTACAAAGGAAGTCTACATAATTTCTTTTGTACAAATTCGTTTTGTTAAACATTTAATGAAACTGGAATAAAAAAGCATTTTCTGTTTCTCTTTTTTTATCAATTGGAAAAACGCGTATGCGATTTTCACTGAATACACATCTGGCGTTTCTACCTCGCCCAGAATGTTGCGCCTTGTGTATACATATGTTTGTGTGCGCGTTTTATACACGATTTTGCGGCTGGTGCTTCGCTGTTCACTTGGTCTTTTTTTTTTCTTAAACACTTCCATACGCCTTATCGCTATATTAACAACATATTTTTCAATTACCACAATGCACTTGCACTTTTCGACAGATTTCTATTGATAATATCCAATTAATATTATTCGTTTTGCTGGAGTTATTCACAAATTCACAAATATTCCTTGAGCACTCGATTTTTTTGTGTAACCCGCCCGCAAACTTTTTCAACTCTGCTACTTTTGCTGCTGCTGCGAATGCGATTGCTCCTTTGTATTTGGTATTCTGCTTGTTCTCTCTGCTTCTTGACGCAGCGCCGGCGCATGTTTGCTCAATGTTTCTGCGCCTTCTTGGGTGCGCGCTCTCTCTCTCATACATTCAAAGAGGCACAGGGTGTTTGACAGTTGGCCTATAGTGTTGGTAAATGAAGTGAATTTTGTGTTTATGGTTTCTTAGCATGCGTTTTTTGGATTTTTTATTTCTTTTAAAGGGAAAATAAATAAAATATAACAACAAACGTGCAAACAATGAATTCGTTTAATAGAATTACTGCTATATTGTTGAGTTTCTTCTTTATAATGTTAACTTGTACGATTTATTTTATTTTTTACCATCACTGGCTGTTGGTGTTTATATTCGAAATCGATATTCGAATTTGCTTGGTGAACATTGAATGCTGCCAGATTTGTAGACAACAAAAATTAGCAGATTAATCACAAATATTAAGTGTTGTAATATTTGTATATGATTTGAATAAAAACCGTTAAGGGTATTCTTCACGCTTCGAAAAACTAGAGCTGCTGGGAATAATTGGGGCCCCATGCCAAGGCAATAGTAATTAACGTTTTTTAGCTATAATCGAGAGCTATATTATAGGAATTTTTTAACTGGAGATTATCGGTTGGTAAATGTAAAGAACCGTTCGAACCTTTTGAAGGTCTAACCTTAAAGCCTTTTTCTAGGAAGACAAGTTTTTCATCTCTGCTCTAAAATTTTCCCAATAGATACCACAGCAGTCGAATCTTTATCGCGGAACGTCCCGAATGCTTCTCCCACAACATTCACCGCAAACTACTTTGGGGAATGTTTTTGCGAATACAACATCAGCAGGAACAGCACTGTTTAGGACCATCTGGAGAGGGCTATTAGTTGAAAGCGTTTTAGTGCGCATGCAATGAGGTGGTTATGGCTTAAGGCCGACCGGCCGATTGTCTTTTAAGCTTCGGACTACACCTCCTTGTCTTTTCCCTAGTTAGTATTGCCTAAAGACTTGCGGTATTGCTATTTGAATATAATCGTATCCTTCGCATACGGCTACGATTTCCAGGTTATCGAATGGGGTTCTCAGTATCTTTGGGTTGTATATTGTCAGGATTTCAACGTCATCAACTGTCACGGTTGCGCGACCAATGTATCCTACTTCCACTTGTCGGGTATTGTTAAAGTATTCCGAGAAAGACTGAGGATATTAATAAAAAATTCTGTATCCATATGATTTGGAATCAGCACGTCGAAGCCGATGGATTTGAATGTTTTTGCCTTGCCAATAACCCAATCAAAATCAAACTCCGCTCTGGTTTTTGACAGTTTGCACAGACGACGCGTAACGCATTCTAAAAAGCGGACCAAAACAATTCACTCACGTTTTTTGGGTACAGAAGTGTGGTCATCGACTGAAATTCCCACCCATTAATTGCGTGTCGTCAGGTATGTGTCAGGTAAAAGCTTGGTTGCCCCAGAAAGAAGTTTGAAGGACCTTGCAACGCTTTTGTCGTCTTGGCGTAGTCACTCTTTGATGCTTGCATCGCTGCTTCAGTTTAAAAACTGGAACGCAAAACTGGAGTTCAAAAAAGATAACGTTGGTTGGCTTGGAAAGGGCGCTAAAGACGTTCTCAATTACTTCCATGAAGACCCATCAATTAGTTTTGTTAAAACTTTCAAATGTCCGGTGATCTGTGGCGTCACACAGTCGGAGGCTCCTTTGAACGAGATCATAAGGGTATTAAGCGAGTTTCCTCTTAGATCCCCAAGTTATATTGTTCAGAGAGCAGAGATAAAAAATTAAGTTAAATTTTCGTGCTCGTCAGTCGGCAAGGAATGTTCCACTCCTCCGAGTGTATTTCTGACATGAAAACAAGACTCCTTGTAAGAAAACGATCAGCCGCTCGGAGGTGGCTTAGTATAAACTGTAGGTCCCTACATTTGTTGGAAAAACATCAAGACACTAAACCACAAATTGGAGGATGAGCTCGTCCAAAAATCGCTTTAGCGGTTGCATAGAGCCTATAAAACACAAATAAATTTAAGAAAAAAGTTTAAATATATTTGTATATATATATATATGTATATAGATATATATATATCTATATATATTAATCTTTATTGAGATAAGATGAATTCTTTCTGCATCCATTTCGACGAAAATTATTTAATATATATATATATTTGTTTTCTTATTCTCTTTTTGTATGAAAGAATAAAACTTTAGACGCTCAATTAAGGATTGGAAGCATAATTATAAATTTCGAACACAAAAAAAAAATTGATAAAAATTAAAATAAAAACGCTATTCGCTTAACTTAAATACTAAATCGATAATAATTATAACTAACAATATTTAGAGCGAAAAGAAACTGCATCTGCAATCTCTTTATTGTTTGCGCCCAAACTATATTTATAACTATTTTTAGACGCGGCGGCTTGCTGATTGCAAAAAAAAGTACGTTGCGCTTAACGGGTTTTGCAATTTATTGTAATTTCACGAATTGTTCTTTTGTATGTGTGAATTTAAGCACAAAATTTAATTTTTGTTTCTTTATTTTTGTTTTTTGTTTTGTTTACTTTACTTAATCGATGATTGTTGAATCGTGTTGAAAAGAAAACTTTTTTCGGGTAAAAAAAAAGTTAAAGGCAATAGTGTGTAGGTGTGTTTGTGTGAAAATTAAACTAAATTTGTTTCAAAAAAATTCAATTTAATGTTTTTTTTATAATGTACATGTTTTTTCTTTGTTGTAAATGTATGCAAATATTTATGATTTATGCGGCCATTATGTATGTTATGTTTACTTTTTGTATTACACAACAAAGGGGAGCAGGTAATTATGACTACTACCGCTAAGTGAAAACCACCACATACACATACAGGTATAATATGCGGCGGTTTTTAGAAAACCGAAAAATTTGAATATTCAATAATTATCGTTGCTTATAGAAATTATCGGGTAACAAGAAATTAGTTCCGAATATACAATAATTGAATAATTTGTTGTTGTTTTTTGTTGTTGTTGTGGTTGTCGATTTTTAATACGATAATTAGAAAAGAAAATAATCTAAATAAGTGCAATTAAGGAGCACAATCGGAACGCTGATCGGTGTTACAAGCAACGATCGACGTGTTTGTTACGCTTCGCCGACACACACTGGGCTACGAAGACGTTTCGAATATTCGCAAGCGTAGAGTGGGTCAATTTTGTGGAAAGACATCTTCGATATTGACGAACGCACAAGCACCGATCGATGCGTGCGCCATCACCTTAAGCAGTTCGGAAGCGTGCGCTACGCACATATCAAGTGGCGGACGTCGCGGATAGTTCATTGATTCTGGCGGTGAAGAAATATTCAATTAATATATGTTTATATAATGAGCGCATTATGTAATCTTACCTAAAATGGCGGAATTGAGTGCGGTGCAGACGTTTTCTCGTTTCGTGGGACAAAGTTGCCAGCCCAACGGACTGGCCCAAGGATTTGAATAGGCGATTAAACTAAATGCATCCTGCAATGAGAAAATGTGTTTTTTTTATTTTAATGTTATTGCAAAAATACATATAAACGTAAGAGATATAATGGAAAAAGTTTCGATGTGCCCAACTTAGATCTAAAATAGGCTCTCTTATATCTAAAATAAATTAGCAGATTGTTCAAGTTTGAATTTGTTAACTGCACTTTTTGTCTTCTTCTTCTCCGACTACTGAATGATTCCCGGTCTTCGATGCCGGAGGGTATCAAGTCTGGCAGAGCTAAGAAGGACGAAAACGAACACATGGAAATTGACACTGACAAGGCAGTGCGAGCACCGATGGTGATGCAATTTTGATCGACTATTTAGGAGAGCCGAGATGGTCGATAGGAGCTAGCGCTCTCGCAGAGACTTCTCGATGATGAAGATCGGATTAACCATTGTAAAGCGGCTTCCGCCAATATATCAATTCGCTATAAATACTTTTAATTCTCAATTTTTATTTTATTTTAGTAACGAAGCCGAACTGAAGTAGAAAGTGGAGCAAGAGAACTTTGGCTGATCTCTGTCTGCATGCCGAGTAACGATAATGTGGAACAAGCTTCCTCAATACTTCGAAGCTTGAAGAGAAGCGAAGGAAAGCCAGGCTAATATATCGGATGCGTTTCACCGCTGCGGCTTCGGTGTTTAAGAACTTGCGGGTAAGACATATCTGTCGCAAGAGGCGACTTTCCAATATAAAATAGTTTCCGCGACAGTCTGCGATTTATACGGGAACGTACCGGATTTATAACCGACCAAGTACTTGTTACTCCCTCAATATTCCAATAAAACAACTTGTAGGGATATTTTTATGGTAACAAAAACAACAAAATCGCATGCAATGAAAACTTGTGGTACTAACTATGGTAAAGGAAGTTTTTGGTTCTCAGTTTGTACGTTTTAACTCAGACTGGAGGGCCCTTAATGAATACACAGAGTCATCCAAACTGAGAGCATCCAGCAGAATTCTTTGTAACCAAGTAAGAAGAAGCAAACTGCAAGTCGACTGAGTAGTCTAAAGGTTGGATGTGAGATTCATAAGAGGATTTTCTGTTGGAGCATAAAACATAAAACAGATTTACACGATTTCTGACCAGAAACCAAACCTCTTTACGAAAACTAGGAGATGAGGGGTTAATTCGGACGATGAAAATTGAAGAGTCACTGAAAATTCTCGTCTATGCTCATTTTCTTTGTAATAATGCTCCTGCGAAAGCCTCTTGTTGTAACCACAAACTATGAGTCCTCGCAGCGACAACCAGCTCGAGCTGCCTCGAAACCCCCGTGACACTGGCCCAACTTAGGTCTGGATAGTGTGGCAGGTTAAACTCCAACCTTTCCACACTCGACTCCAACCTACCCAACGTATGCTCTGCATACAGAATGAGTTTCAAATGAAAACCCGTTTAAAATAAAAGTTTTGGCACTGCGATACCAGTCGGCCGAAATTACTTAACTCCTGGAAGTAATAGTCTCAATATCCTGACTACTTCCACGTTTCCCCATCACTTTAACGGTAAACTGTAGGAATGTTGACTTCGAACCGTAATTTCTTCTGTCCGTCTTCATATCAATATTAAAATTTACTTACTTCCAACATTTGCCGATCCTCATCGTTCATTTTATTCTCTTTTTCTAATTGCTGGCCCATTTGCGATAACTCCTTGCCGAACTCTAATATCCTTTCGATGCCACCATGACTATATTTTTGTGTGGAAGGTGCAACATCGATGTCTGTGGGGAATAAATTTGAAAATTTTTTAAATAAAAAATAAATGTTTTATGAAATAGCAAAAAATATTTTGAATATACAAACCCATTTCTTCATCGCCTTCTAAAGAACTAGTAAAATTAGAACTGCCGTTTTTGCATGAATTGCCTGGTGGAATAAAAAGAAATAAAAGAATTTTGGATTTAGAAGCAAACAGATTTTCGAAAACACTAAACTGAGTGAAATTTGGTATGAAATTTTATAAAGAAATTAAAAATAAATAAATCAATAAAATATTAACAAAAAAAATAAATATTAACAAAAAAAAAAAATAAATAAAATATTAGCAAAATAAAAAGATATAAAAGAAATGAAATATTAAAAAAATATTACAATAACAAAAAATAAAGTATTAACAAAATAAAAAAATAAAATATATTTAAATAACACAAATATTTAAAAAGAAATTATAACTTTAAACGATTTAAACTTAATTAAGCTAAATTTATAAGAGTTGAAAATTATAAAAAATAAAAGCAAAAACAGAAATTAAAAAAGCCAATAAAAAGTAAAAAAAAATACTTAAAAAGGTATGCACCGTATTATATTAAAAATAACTTAAAATCAAAATTAATAGGCAATTTTTAAATTAAACAAATTGGAAAAAAATTAAATAACATTTTATTTAAGTTGAAAAAAAAAATGAAAGCAAGTATATAATTACAAAAAAAAAAAAAACCGAATAATAAAAAATAAAAATACAAATAAAAAACGAACAACAAAAGTAAAAATATAAAATTACAAGGATAATAGAAATTAAACAAATTAATAAGTTAAAACAGAAAAAAAAACTTTTTAAAAGCTAAAAAACAATTAAAAAATTTAAAAAATGAAGAAGAAATTTAAAGCAATTAATAAAAAAAAAAAAAAAAAAATTTAAAAAAAAAAAAACAATTAAAAAATTTAAAAAATTAAGACGAAATTCAAAACAATTTAAAAGAAATTAAAAAAAAATTAAAGAAATCTAATAGATAAAAAAATTAATAGCAAAAATTTGAAAAAAAAAACAAAAACAAATAAAAGCTAAATTAATTTGAATTTTATCTTAAAATTAACAAAAAAAAAATTAAATAAAAAATAAAATTAAAAAGAAATTGTAAATTAAAAAATTAAAAAAGAAATTTAAAAATTTTTTAAAACAGGAGTTGTAAATTAAAAACAAAAATAAGAGCTTAAAATTTTTTTAAAATATAAATATTACAAAAATAGAAAATAAGAATAAAAAAATTAAAATATTATTAATTATTTAAATAATTAAAAATAGATGAAATTAAAATATAATACATAATGATTTACCAAAAAATTAATAAGTAAAAATTAAAATAAATAAATATTAAGATATTAAAACTAAAAAATTTAAAAAAAAATTAATGAAATTGAAGGTATTTCATATAAAAAAATTTTTGTTTGACCATTTATTACTTCCCTTCCCATATTTTCAGAAAACAATGCCAAGAAATAAAAATTGAAAAATTAAAAATAAATATAATTAAAAAACATTAAAAAAATTTAATAAAAGAGAAAGATTTAAAAAATAAAAGAGTTAAAAATTTAAAAGTATAAGTGAAAGAAATTAAAAAACTCAAAAAAAAAAAGGAAATTAAAAAATAAGAGTTTTAATTTTCAACTAAAAACTCAAAACAAAAAATATAATGTCGCAAAAAAAAAAAAACAAAAATCTTACAAAATAAAAGTTTAAAATAACAATAGTATAAAGAACAAAAAAATAACAGATTACAGAAATTGAAAAAAAAATAAAAAAATGAAAATTAATAGGATTTAAAAAAAAATTGAAAATTGAAAAATTATTCAATATTTCCAATACCATTTGTGGTGTGCATATTTAATTCCATCTCTACATCATTCATATAATCGATATTGGCGCTATTATTCTTATTATTAATCGAAATCGCATCACCAGTGCAGTTCTCATCCAAAACACTGTAAACAAGGAAAATATAAACAATTTGTATAGGCAATAGCAGTTTTTTTTTTTCAAATTTTCAAATTTTAAAACTTACGATACGATTTTCATATCCTGTTGATGCGTATGATTATCGGCATTTATCACAGCTGTTGTTGGTGTTGATGTTGTTGTTGTTGCTATTGTATTTATTGTTGCTATCTGTGCATTACTATGTGCTACTGTGCCACTGCTACTCTTACCATTCTGATACGATTTAGTTGACTGTATAACCGACGTTTGATTCGGTGGCGGCGGCGTAGTCTGCGTTTGTGTTGTGATCGAATTTGTTAATTTATTATTAATGGTAGTAGTGGTAGTAGGAATGGTAGTAGTAGGAGTAGTATTGGTAGAAGTAGAGCAGTACTGAACCAACAAACAAATAAAATGAAAAAACGTTTGAAGCAAAGAAATAAAAAAAATGAAATGATTACATGCATTCTGTATGACAATCGTTTTTTGTCTTCTTTTTTTTTTTGTTTGCTTTTTTGTTTTTTGTATTTTAACTATAATTTGTGTATTAGTTTCGGACTTTATCTCGATAGTTTTACCTCAATGTCGGAGCCATTAACCATTTCAATAAACTGTCTACACTTTAACATGAACCAAAGATTTTTGTTATTCTCCAGTAGACCCGGATATGAGCGCAATGTTTGCTCAATGGCTTGCCCCATTTTACCAGATAATACCAATTTTAATATTTCTACAAGAGCAAGGGAGAAAAAGATAATAAAAATTAATGTATATAATAATTAGCTGGTGACATTTTCGACATACTTTGACGATTTCGAATCGATGAAATATCCTCGTGAAACGTTTGACCGGTGGTTCTAGCGAATGCTTCTGCAGTCTGACTATAACCATTGTGTAAGAGATAAGATGAGACCATTCTGTAAAGGAAAAGAAAGTCATTAAGTGAATATTTTTAATAAGTTATTTTAATAACAAAAAAAAAATAATAATAATTTTATTTGATTAGGGACGATATCATTTCAACAATTTACATGGTTTTACGGTTAAAGTTTTCGTTAAAACATAGTGTTTCTTTTTACTCCGTATTTTAAGCACAATTTAAGAAAGTGAAGTTAATATGGCGATTATCAAAATTATTTTATAGCTTCGGGTTTCGTTTGCTTGAATTTTTTATTTATAATATTGAAATTCTTGAGAACTATGATTATTCATTTTGTGATTTTGATTTGATGAAAAACTACGCCAAAACAAAAACAAAGTATGCGGCAGTTGTTGTACTTGTTCTTCTGCTCTCACCTTTGTGAATTTGCCTTGATGTAATTTCAATATTTTAATGAAAACAAACTGCAAAATCCACGTTTCAATTTTCCCCGATATATATGCAGTTTGTGAAACGGTCAAATGCGAAAAAATGAAAAAAAAATATAAATTAATATATAAATTTTACATTACTTTAATTATACATTGTTTTTTAAACTTTACAAAAATATAAAAAAAAAATTTACAAAAATATAAAAAAATTACAAAAATAAAAAATAAAATTTATAAAGATATAAAAAAAATTTACAAAAATATATAAAAAAAAAATTACCAAAAAATAATAAATAAAAATAAAATTCAAAAATATAAAACTTGAATAAATAAAAAAAATTTAGATCCGACCTTTTCAGACATGCAAATAACTATTTCAGCTAATATAACCATGTAGTTGATTTTTAAAAATCATTTGTTAATAAATAACAATTAATAATAAATAACAAAAAAAAAAAAAAAAAAAAAAAAAAAACGATTTCGATCTATATATAACGATCTTCGGCTACTCACTTGTGTAGAAGAGTCGTCGGATCACCCTGGTCGAGTGGCATGGGATAATCATAAATAGAAGTCCTCATTTGGGCGCGCATTTGTTTCATCATATCTTCGATTTGATCAAATTTGAATGGCTCCTGTCCGAAATTGGCATCGATCTCCTCACCCGGCGTCTGTAGGCCAACAGTTGGATAGAGTTTACTCTAAATAAAAATAAAATTAAAATTGAAAAATATTACATTAATAACACGCTACATAAGCACATTTATATATATACTACTACTTTATGTACCGGCAAATCCCTGAATGCGATACCCAGATCGATGCCATTTTTCGTATAAAAACATGAATTATCAACAAAATTCACACAACAACCGATTATGTCGCCGGTGGTGAATGTCGGTCCATACGATTGACCATTATTTGATGATGCATATGAATTGCCATCGTCACCATGATAACCATACGATTGTTTGTCCCAACCTGAAAAAGAAAATTACGAACGGAAGCAAAAAAAATAATATTATTTGCATTTGTTGGTTGGGGGGCGCACGCGTTGCCTTTACCTGGTAAACGATTCATGCGAAATTGTTGAGCCGTTAAACCGATACCCATATAACCATCTTTGCCCTTCGATACGATTTTCACCTCGAAATAGTATAGTCCACAGGCGGGCGGTATCGGATGAGCTGTACGCACTGAGGCTGAGCCGTCATGTTTATTGCCAACGCCTGTAAATAAATGGCGTAAAAAGTATAAATGCCGTAAGAGAAATGTATGGATGTTGTAGAAGATGATCTGAAGGAGTCGGCGCTTTGGCGCTAATTAAAGGAAAAAAGGTAAATTTGTAAAAAAAAAAAAAAAAAAAAAATATTTATTTTGATTTTGTTTAAAGCAACGACAAAACAAACATAAAGGGCAGGAGATTTCAGTTTATGAAATGCAACAGTGCTGGAAGCAGGCGGGTTTTATGCGATAACTGGAATTGATGCTGTAGGGATTCGATAATTAATTATTTCACACAGAAATTTGGCAAACAATTTAAGTTTTTTTTTTGTTTTTGCTTTGGCGAGTTAAACTAATTTACATATTCACAAAAATCCTCAGTTTATTAGACAATTAAAAAAAAATTTCTGTGAGATTACATACAAAGCCAAAGCAAAACTAATTCATTACCATTTGAAATCTGCATGTAAACAACAACAAACCGTTTGCTTGCTAAGCCTTCCAACAGCTGATGGTGTTATCATTTTACCAACTGCTGCATGCATACATACAAAGATGATAAACGCCAGCAACCAACAACAACGCACACAAGCATACCTACCTACATATGGAGAAATGTCAAATGGAGTAGACAGCGTAGGAAAATAAATGGAGAATAATTGACCAGGCCAATGACAGCTGCAGCCGAAGCAGCGTCGACAAAAACCGATCTGGATGTGGCGTTTCGTGCTGGATAACTTCATGTTTGTTTCATGTTTCTCTACCGTTTATTAATTCGTTTTCGTTGCAATGCCTTTTCATATTTTCATATTCTTTCTTGTTGTTACAATAAAATGGCAGAACTCGAAGGCTGCTGCATTTCAGTTCATCGTTGCGATGACAATGGGAAACAAAGTGGGGGTGGAAAAATGTGGTAAAAATGAAAACAAATAGCGTTGGAAAAGGAAATTGAGCGATTGGTGTACCAAACGATATTCATAACAAAGATTTTAGTGTAAGATTTGCAGGAGTAGTAAACAATAGCAGAGGAGGAGTTGATATTATAGTAAACCGTACAACATAGAAAAGTATATTTCAAAGTATTTTAAAAATTCCATATTTTTAAAACATACTGCAAAATTAAATCATTTTAGTTTCGGTTTCTAAATTAAAAAGCCACTGCTATTAAACTGCTCATTAGCGAAAGACTGCTTGCGCGCATTAAATCTATCGACTTTTAGAAATGAGCGACTTAAGGCTTCCATCTTTTTTTTTCTTTTACATAAAGTAACACTACATTGGACATACATTTTCAACATTTGCCTTAAATTGTAAATTGAAAAAAAAGGGTTTTTATTAAACTTTCTCTTACCTTTGTAGTGCACATGAAGATTATTCTGCGATAGTCCAATCGATAGACATTTGTCATGTTGACTCCAGCAGCGTGGCAGTGGAGTTTCAGCTTCGTTTACATTTGGATACAGCATTTTTAGACGATCGGTCACTTGCTGACGCGAATGATGAGTGTGGCTGTTGCTGTGACCGCTGCTGTTGCCGCCACCCGGCAAGGCAGCTGCACCGCAGCCACCACCGGATGGATTATCGCTATTGCTACTGCTGCCGAGCATATTGGTACCCGATAGTATTGTATTTGCGCCGTTGCTGGGATTTGGATATTGGCCTATATAACTAATGCCGCTAGTATTGTTGTTGTTGTTGTTGAAGTTGCTGCTGCTGCCGCCAATGTCGCCGCTGCTACTACTACCAGACAAAGCGGGTATATCAAACGCAAATGGTGAATTGTTGATACAACCACCAAAATTCGGATAATAATGATGATGATGGTGGTGTAGTGGATGCGTAAATGGATGGTGTGTATAGTGCGTAGCGTACGATAGTGCAGCAGATGACTTTGGTGCTCGTCGTCTACGTTCGCCGCCACTAATATTCTCTTCGTCGTCTGCGTCTGCGTCCTCGTCCTCGTCGTCGTCTTCGTCGTCCTCTTCCTGCAGCAGCAATGGCAGTGTTGTTGGAGGTGTTTGGTTACGTTGTTCGTTCGTTGACGCGCTGCTACTACCAGCTGCAGCCTCACCTATTACACCGCTCAATGTAGAGCCTTGAGCACCGCTCAAACTATCCTCTTGCTGTTGTTGCTGCTGCTGTTCTTGTAAACCAGATTGCAGTTGCAGTTGTTGTTGCTGCTGGCTAGTTGATGCAATGTCAGCATTCAGTTCAATATCTTCATCAAGTGCAGATTCAAGTGCAGACGCATCAATTGTATCGGCAACTGGATTATTGTCTTGGTGAGGACATGGATGTGAAGCTTGTTGTTGTTGTTGCCCTTCCTGTAGCTGATTTTGCTCTAATGATTGATATTGCTGCAGATGCCGTTCCCCACTATATTGAGCTGTGCTTATTGCTTCCTGAAGCTGATCCTCTGGCTCTGGCTCTGGCTCTTCCCGCTGCTGTTGTTCGATTGGTTGTGGTGGTGGTGGTGGTGATGGCGGTGGTGGTGGTAGTAGTGCGTGTTGCTGGAGGGAGGGAGAGGGAGAATGTTCAAAATGAAGCGCATGTTCAGAGTGTGTTTGTTCAAGCTGTTGTTGTTGCTGTTGTTCTTGTTCTAGTTGCTGATTATGATAAATTTGAAGATTGTGTGACGATGATGTTGGCGACGATGATGATGAGGAGGATGAAGGGGGTGGGGTGGTATTGTTATTGAATAAGAGGGGTGAAGAAGCGAAAACTGAATTATCTGGCAATGAAGATGCCGCTACTTGTTGTTCTTGCAGTTGCTGTAACGGCAATAGGGGTGGCGATGGTGGTGGTGGGGGTTGTGGTTGAGCCAGCTCAACTGTAGCCATATGCTCATCTAATGGTGGTTGCTCCTGCAATGGTATAGCTGGTTGAGCGAATTGTTCGCCACCATCATTATCAGAGGATTGTAGCATTGAGAGCATTGGCAAGTTTGCGAGCAAATTGCTGCTGCTGCTATTGTTGCTGCTGCTTGTCGACGACGATACCGACGAATTTACTTGTCCATTATCATTATCGGTATCCATTTTTTTTTTCGTTTAATTTAGAGTGATGTATACAGTAAACTGAAAATATGGTACACACTTTTTAACAATACAGCCTCAGGTGTGTGAGAATTATTTCTAAAGAGAAGGGACGAGGGAGAAGAAATCGACAGCACTGGTTCACGTTCAACAATTATTACCAACATCAACATCATCGTCGCAACATCAGGGACTACGGAATGCTTAATAATAGTTATTTATAATTTAAAAATTTTAATATAGTATATGCCCATACATATATCAAAGGGATATACATCTTTTTGAGCTTTAACTAAATGGAGCTATTTTAATAAGAAACTCAATTTTTTATAAAATTCTACCTTAAAAAGTTAAAAAAAAGAAAGGATTTCATATGGAGATCTGACGAAACATTCATGCCACAGGCAAAGCATAAAATATACAGAAAGTTTATACATTAAATATTTTAGTAAGAATATTACACATCAACTGTACGCGGTAGAAATAACTTTTTAAATAACATCTCTGCGAATGATTTACTTAGAACGAAAGGGGTCAAGGTTGTGCTGACCTGATTAATAAATTTACCCTGGCATGGAAAATCTCAATAATCTTTCAACCGAATATAGATTTATATCAGCGAAAATTCTTCGAACAGTAACAAAGGCGCACTTTAGAGTCTAGAATCGAAAATCTCTAATCTTGTAATATTTATAATCATGCTGCGCCCATTCAGAGTAGAGCAATTGAGGCTGTTATGTATACAAAGAATAAAACTTGATGACAAAGAACATAACTTTACACGCAATGGAAATAAAAAACGTATAAACAGCAGCTATTACTGGTTATGGTCGAATAATTTGTGCCTATTGCGTAGCGTTGCACTACGCCTCCATTATTTTGTGAATTTTTTTTTTCTCAAATACCAGCTGTAGGCTTTATGGTGAAAGCAACAATGAATTGTTTAAAATCAATATATCACCTTTGTACACTTTAGTCTAAACTAGTTCAAATAAAAAATGCATTCTAGTTAATGCACATTTTTCCTCCAGAGCAATGCTTACTTTTGCGTTAAAATTATAGTTAAATTAATCTGTAAAGTTTTTCACTTTTTACGACGTTTCACTGATTTTCTTTGTTTTCCCCTCGAAAATAAGAGACAATAATGAAATAATATGCACACACACGTACAGAGGTAGAACTCCTCTTCCTCTTTTTGATTCGCTTTCCTACTCTTTTGTTCTTCTGTGCATTTGTACGACGTTTATGGGTTTCTTCATTTTGTTTCCTTCTGCATTGTCAAAAATTTATGTTTCTTCTTTTTCTACACCTTCAGTGTTTTTCTTGTGTTATGCGCTTTGATCGCTTATTTCTCAACTCAACAACAACAAACTAAACACATATACATATAAAAGCGAAACTTATAGGGAATACAAATATGATGTAAAATTTGATGAACAATGGAGTTTACTGCTGACCAAAATTTATCTGCTTGTTCTTTTTATGGAAGCGAATTGTATAATTATTTTGCAATATGTAGATTGACCTCACTATAAAGAAAAAATAATCGCTCAAAAAAAATGTTTTGTGGTCCCACGCATAAGCATTGCTACAGTTTGCTTTTGCTACTATTTTTCGCCACTTCATTCACCTTGGTACGACAATAAAAGCACAATCCTGTCTTTGCTTCACCTTTCCCCAGCAGACGTTGGCCTTTTCTTCTCCACTTGATAGTTTATAATTTAAATTTCAATTTTTTTGATAATTTTCGCTCAGTTCTTTTCTTTTTTATTTTTATCCTTTTCCGAGAAATCACAACTTCTTCTACTTCCACTGTCGACTGTCGCAGCAGATATGACACAGCGCTGCCAGTGAACTATGAAAATTTATATCGAAATTGGACAAGTAATCGATTGTATTGGGGGTGCCACAAAGTGACAATTTGAAAATAATTGATTATTTTATGATTTCTGTCAATTTGTATAGCTGAATATTGAAATTAAGTTGAAAAAGTATGAGATTACAACCGATAAAATATTTGAAAATAAAAAACGTTTATCGAAACCAACGTCGTTTGAATCGAAACACAATTAAAAGTCCTTGTTTTCAGCGACTATTTGAATTTAAGTTTAAATCAATGTCGCTGGACAAGCTAGTTTTCGAAATGTGTGAGGGATGCACAAAGAATAATTAATTAACTTAACAGTTGCATGTTTCAGTTTGAGTAATAATAAAAAAATAATATGCCAAGGAAATCTTATTATAAAAATGCCTTCATTTTAATAAATAAATAAAAAGAAAAAACCAACGGTACAGTGCTTATACAAAAAACATGCTTTCTTTTGGATTATGTATTTACCAGGCATAATTTCTAACACTGATTAGAAGCTTTAGCCCTAATTTAGTTAAATAAAATTCATTTTCCATGAATTTGAAATATTTTTTTTTTTAATAACACATCATCAATACTTTTAATAGTTTTCCGTAGTTCTCAAATAATTTTTCCCAGAAGGTAATTTAATCTTGTTAAATCCATTTGGAAAAAACTTCTTTGCTTCTTCATCTGTTACCGAGGGTATTAGCATTACTTTGGATCCAGGCTAAACAGGAAAAATAAAATACTTGTCACAAAAATAGATATAATTTAAAATTTACCGTCCAATTAACGGGCGTAGCTAATATCTTTGAGCGATCGGTCAGTTGCATAGAATCGATAACACGTAGTATTTCGCTAAGTAAAGTAAAAACAAATAATGAAATTTATAAAAAAACTTCTTAAGAACTTGCAATCAAAAGTAAATTTCTAGCAATTGAAACAAATATTTAAGCCAGGTTTCGATATTTGAGATAAATACACGCTGCTGTACAAAGTTTCCCACCTAAGAAAAGCCGTCTAATGACAGATAGAAGTTTGGTTTTGGCGTTTTTCGCTAAGCTGGACAAGTTCGCAATGGCATGCAGTGCAAAAATGATTTCTAAATCAGCGTCTTAATGACTGATTCCTACTAATAAAACAGATTTTTAAATTATTAGAAATAGAAAAATTTCCATTATATCAGAGCTATGCTTTATCCGTCATCGACTTTAATTAAATCGATTGATTTGCTCCCTCATTTGAGTTGGTAGTTCAATGAAATGTGAAATGAATGAATGGAACTTCATCATTTCATTTTGAATTGGTTATCATCGGAATCGCTAAAATTCGCAACATTTAATCACAAATGACAATTGAAATGAGGAACGAATTGATCAGCTGTGAGTTCAAACCGGAAACAGGTGCTAAGTGTTTCTACTTTGGAGGCTGTACAAGGATACCGAGTTCTAAACTCAAATCAATTTGACAGCATTGCATACTTCGCTTTTATATTGATGGAGAGATTCTGTTCCAATGTTCTCAATAATCAACATGTTTTAATTACCGACCCCTTCTTCTCACCTCGCATTTGACATTTTCACCATAATATTATTGAAATTATTTGGATATTGCAACCCTTTTCCAAATCACGAGCACGAACAAAAATTTTGATATCTTCAATTATTAAAAAATTACATCTCTTCGTTAATAAAAGTACAAAATAAAGCAAATAAAACACAATTTTTTTCAACTCACTCAATGTTACGCCCAGTCGTCATTGGATAGCACATTGTCAGACGCACTTTATGATCGGGATCGATGACATAAACTGTACGTATAGTTTTGCCCAGCTCAATGTTATCTCTATCATCTTCATTTAACATGCCAAAAGAGACAGCCAAATCTCGTTGAGGGTCAGCTATTAATGGGTAGGGAAAATCATCGCCCAGTTCCTCAAAGTATGATTTGATATCGCTAATCCAAGCGAGATGTTCTTGAAGTCCATCCACAGAGAGTGCAATGCACTTAACATTGCGTTTGGCAAACTTTTCATGAAGCAATGCAATCTTACCCAACTCTGTTGTACAAACCGGTGTAAAATCGCGTGGATGGGAAAGTAGTACAACCCAGCTTTAGGAAAACGAAAAAAAAATTGGTTGGTGATACTAAGTTATAAAATATTATATATATTTTTGGCGAATTGCTAAATTTAAAAACAATATCCATATATGCATGTATGTATAAACATATATGCAGGTATTTCTTCAACTTACGAACTATCTTGCCAACCGTAGAAATCAATCAGACCTTTACTGGTCTCTGCTCGAAAATTCGGCACGATTGCTCCAAGTCGCATTTTATACAATTTTTTTTGTCAAAATTGCATTAAATATATATTAAAATTCATAAATATTTATAATTACAAGGCGAACTTGTTGATGTTCGAATGATAACTAATTAACGAGAATTGGCATGCGGCCTTATTTATTGTTATCGATTACTAGTCGATTGCTATCATTTCGTTCATTTAATAATGCTAATTATTATGCAAATTGAATGAAAATTGATTACTTAGTGGCGATGAATTGTTAGTGAATATTGCAAGTAAACAATTTCAATTTATTCATAGCGTGCGCTCCAGCTGATTGGGTAGCATTGCGTGATAGAAAGGGGGGACTTTGATTTGATCGGTAGCCGGACGCAATAGCCGAGTGTTTAGCATGGCGTACAGCCGTTCGGAACGATCGGGTTCAAATCCTAACACCCAAAAAGTTTTAATAATTAATTAATTTAATTAAAACATTAAGTTAAATTTTCAAATTGCCCCTCGGCAGGGAATATCAAACCCTCCGTGTGTATTTCTGATATGAAAGAAAGCTCCTCATAAAAAAACCATCAGCCGTTGGGAGGCGGCTTAGTATAAACTGTAGGTCCCACCATTTGTAGTAAAATCATCAAGACGCAAAACCACAAATTTTAGGAGGAGCTCGGGCAAAAATCGCTTCAACGGTTGCAAAGCGCCAACTATAAATATGTATATACATATATGTATGATACATAAAGGGATATTGCATGATATTGAGAAAGGAGCTAGTTCTTCCACGCTCGGGAGATAACTATTCTTTGTACGGCGATCAGAATTCTTCTTGGATCTTAACCTACATGAAATATTCGGCTTGGATCCACTGGCTGGCATACGCATAGGTTGAAACTCAACATGAGGCTTACAACTATCGTTTAATTCTTTTTAAACCGCGTTAGGGAATAGACCACATATTCTTGGCGGTATGGCAGGTCGGTTTACAGTGGTATTTGTTAGCTCTTTTCTCACCGTGAAGATCTTTTTTTGGAAGCTACCGCGATTTTCTTGAAGTTTAAAATGCTGCCTGATTCCAACTGAGCGCAAATACTTTGGTCCTCCGTTCATCACCATTTTTGATTTGTCCACCCTTTTTTTGTGCATCCTGAACTATTTCTCTTTCCTAGATAAAATGCAATGTTGAGTATTTTTGAATGAAGCTTTGCTGGGTTTTGGTTTCAAATCGAAAATACCACCAACTGGAGGATAAGCTCGGCAAAGAGTTCTTGAGGCAGCAGTATCCCTAAATAAGTTGTGGAGATGACTTCGAGGTCTAAGAAAGTCAGAAACTCGAGACTAAAGATCTTTCAACATTCCGGCTGTAGAAAATATATCTAAACTTAGCTCGCTATAACGATCTTCATAGTACCGTTTGTATGAAGGTAATAGCGATCCCTTCTTATTTTCTATTGGCATAAACATTGCTTATGGCATTAAAGTCGAACTAACAACAGGGTGGCATCCTTTAATGACCGCATAAATTTTTCAAGCTGAGACATTGCATTGTAAGGCCAGCTCTTTTTTGTGTGTCGATCAGTTTCTTACGTTTTTTTCTATACAATTGGTCCTCGGAGCGTAGAGTGTCTAGAATACTGGATATTTGTCGCCTGGCTATCATCACATGCTCGAACTTTCCGGTACCGGCGAAATTGATTAACTTCAGCTCATTTTGGGAAGTTTTGTAATTGGAGCTGAATTTACTGACAATTGCCCAGATGATAGCTCCATTGCTCAGCCTAAAGTTAAAACCGCTAATGACAATTTCAAAACCCGTACTGGAGTAGCTCGTAGAAGGCATATCGGTTTTCGTCGAGATATTATAAGGATCCACACGTTTCAGTATTTTTTTCCTTTCATGTGGGATATCTCATCGGAGGCACTTTTTTTCATAGGAGCTGGTTTCTACGTGATGTACCGAATCCATCTGAAAACCTTCTTTGGACTTCACACGTAGGGTGTGCTACGAGGACACAAGATTATGAATTGACTAATGAAGTCATTGGCCATACCGGATTCCCAACAGTGAAGGGTTAAAAAAAATTGATTATTTTTGCGAAACTCGTTCCGGTTGGGATATCCTGAACTATGCCTGCAACGTAACTGACAAAAAAGCTCTACGATCCTTATGCTAGCCTTGCAATATGTGAGGTGTGAAGAAAGATTTCTTCAAAAAATATAAAAGCCCTCCAGCCTCTCTCAGTATAATTCAAAAACAGACTTTTGAGCCGCCCTAATTTTCATTCCATACAATTTATGGCAAACTGCAACTTTTGCAAAAGCTCATCAGCAAATCAAATGACGGAAATAGCTTCGTAAAGCTCTCTGCGGAACGCAAATTTCGTCTAACGGCAGAGGAAATTAAATTATACCAAAAAAGCGTAAGTAAAGCTTACTAAGTAACATTTTACTTACCGTTATAGCCAGGAAAAAGACGAAAATATCTTTCATTCCTATAACCACCTTTTTTAGACCCTCAAAGCACACTTTACTGTTAATAACATTTCCTCGCAGCTGTAAAAAGTTAACAAGTTTTTGATATATTGTTATTATTGTTGTTGTTGCAGGTAAGGTGTAAACGCTGAAGGATTGTTAGGCATATTTCGTATGTCGTTCTGCTGGTGCTTTGTAGGCGTAAGCAGCTTGTTGGCCAAGAGAGCACCACACCGGTGGCGGCGTGCGGTGTGTGGTTGCGCTGTCGGCTTCGTAGTGTTTACATGTTTACTTACAAGCCGTTTGGCGGGTAATTGCATTGCTACGAGCTGAGTGCTCCTTCAGTTGTTATCGTTCGGTTCGGCTGTTTGGTTTGTTCAAGCAACAAACAAATTTCACCGTTATAACAATGACCGTCTCAAAGTGATTCTGAATGAACGGCGAGTACTATTTTTTTTTGTCGGTGCCAAAGTCGCGTGAATGACAAAATACTGTGGAGAACGTGTAACGAAATTGTAACAAAAACAACACCTGACTAACTATGTTAACGGTTTTTCTAAATTTTTAAAATATTTTGTTTCTAGCCAATTCAATTTGTTCGGTTGTACATATTTTCGTGATTTTCTTTTTCCAAAAAATACTCAAGAAGTGAATTTTGTGGTTTTTGTGTCGCTCCAAAACCCATCAACGGCATGCAGTTTTCAAAGTGATTTGCAAGTGATTACCTCTGGTTGTACGCCACGTTTCATTCATCGGCAATCTTTTTTGCCTTGTGGTTGAGTTTCAGATGAGTGTGAATTGGAAAGTTTCTTTCGGTTCTTTCTTTGCTGTGTTTGACGTGTTCATCCGGGGACATGCGGTAGTCATTAAGTCGAATTTGTCAAATAAATAAAAAGTGCATAATTACAAATGTGCGTATGCATGTATGTATATGTTGAGTAATTTCTTTATGTGCGCCTGGTCGGGGGAGTGTCGGTTAGATAACCGACTCCTTGAGTTCAGTTCTTGAGGAGAGTTGAATTTACTAAGTAAATGTAATCCAATAATGTGTTTTTGTAAAGTTTGGGAAATGTAACAACAACAAAAATATTTCCTGCTCTGTTCTCATCAAATGAAATTAGTTATTCGCCGAAAAGGTAAATACAAGAAAGGAGGAGGACATAAAAGTTTGAATCTTGCTTGAGTAGTTGCATATGTAATTCTCTAACAGCGAAATTAATTACAAACTAACTAACCATAGATATAAGATAACGGGCTGAAATGAAATAAAATAAATAAAATAAAATAAAATAAAATAAAATAAAATAAAATAAAATAAAATAAAATAAAATAAAATAAAATAAAATAAAATAAAATAAAATAAAATAAAATAAAATAAAATAAAATAAAATAAAATAAAATAAAATAAAATAAAATAAAATAAAATAAAATGAAATGAAATGAAATGAAATGAAATGAAATGAAATGAAATGAAATGAAATGAAATAAAATAAAATGAAATGAAATGAAATGAAATGAAATAAAATGAAAAAAAAATAAATAAAATTAAACAAACTGAAAAAATAAAAATTAAATTAACCTTAAAATTAAAAAAATAATTATAAAATTAAAATATGTTAAAATAATATATGGTATTATTATACATATTAAATGAATAAAAATTAAAAATCTCTTGTACTGCTGTAGCCCAAAAATATTTACGGCATTCGTAAGGAAACCACGGTATGTTCTACCTCACGTGTTCAAACCATATCTAGATAAACATATATTACTATAGCAAATAAATTTTATGTAAATTGCGGTTATTTGAACTTCTCCGAGTACATAAACATGACATGAAATAAAGGCTTCTCATCCAATCTAACAGCCGTCCGGAGGCGGCTTGGAAGAAATTTATTTGAAAATCATCAAGACGGATACAACCAGTTGGGGGAGCGAGAAAAACAAATGGTTTATAGAAAATTATAGAATATAAGTATGTAGATTCTTAAGTCCATCAGTTGAGAAATCCTTTGTTATATTGGTCGGCTTATTTTTTTCATTAAGAGAGTTTTGCAGAGATCGAAACAAATAGTAGTCAGATGGTGCACGGTCCGGGTTATATGGTAGGTGCATTAAAGCTTCCTAACCAAGTTCCGTCAATTATTACGTGAACATAAAAATGTTTGTGATCTGGCGTTGTCATAATGAAACAAAATACAATTTTTTTAAGCCAATTTGGACGCTTTTGTGGTTAATTGTTAACGAACGAGCTCAGAATTGAACGTTTTGTTTATTAAACTATTTACTTTCGATACTACCATACCCCCACCAGAATTTTGTTTGACATCGATTTGGGGTTTGAAGTGATTTGTGGCGGTGACCCTACTTTGATTTGTTTTACTGTCATATTCTTGTGTTTAACCCACTTTCCAACGCCCGTGATGAGTCGTTTTCCTCTTCACTGAAGGTTGTTCGACCAATAATATTTCTTTCTTGTGTAGTTAGTCGTTTTTAAGTGGTTCTATATAGTCACGTGAGTGGTTTCTAATGCCACTGGCATCGCCAGCTGATGATGATAATTTCTT